AGGTATGATAATGACTGGCTCCAAGAGCATAAAAGAAAACTTTTCCTGACTCTCAGAGTCAAGAGATAAGAAGCAAGAGAGTTTCCAATGGGGCTCTATCAGATTCCCACCCATGGAGTAAGAACAACACATTTAGGCAAGAAAAAAAAACTTAATGAGAACCAAATTGAGCAGGGGGGTGGGAACCAACCCAGGCCCCTCTGAGAAGGGCTGGACCACAGCTGGGACAAAAGGGCCCCTGGCTTTCCCCGCCCGACAGATGGAAATGTGGCAGCCCCTCCCCAGTTCTCAGGGGTATCAGAAGATTAATTAGTGGCTGCCTGGAAAGTGCTAGATGGGAGCCGAAATGCCTGTCCCTGCTGAGTTTCGGAGCTGTAAATAAGCAGCTTTCTCAATCGCCACTGAAATAGCAATGCTGTCCTTTTATCTGACTCAGATCCCTCAGCAAGCCTTGGGTGGTTCCTGAGCCAGCCCCAAAGCCACGGCTTTGCTTAGGACCGACCCAGCCAGAAGCCAGGTCTGAGCTCCATCACCCCTCCCTGGGCGGCATCTGAGTGGGCACCTGCGGACGGGGAGCTGGGGGCCTGCCCTCCCCACCAGCCCCCTCCCTCAACCCAGGTGGGCCTGGGCAGAGACCCGCACCCAGCCTCCCACACTGGGGGCTTCTGGCGGCAGGCGAGGGGAGAAAGAGAAACCCAGGCAGCCCGCCACAGGCGGCCCAGGGCACCCTCAGCTCCCCCAAGGCAGGGGGACGCCCACGTCTCTGGCAAGCCTGTCGGAGGCTGACCTTGGAAAGGCTGACCTTGGAAAGGGGGGGGTGGCAGCTAGGGGCAAGGAGATGTCAGACTGCCTGACAGCAACCGCCAGCACGCTGTGTGGCTTGGGGCCAAGCCCCAGCCGTCTCTGGACCTCAGTTTCTTCGCCGGAGTTTGGAGTGTCCTTCCCAGCAGTGGCCAGTAAATCCTGAGGGGCAGCCGGGGTCACCCAGAGTTCAGCATGGGGCCAGGGCGGGGTGAGCTGACAGCTGCCCGGTCCTCCCTCCGTGAACTCCAGGAACAAGATAAGGGGGGCGGCAGGGCAGGGCGCCACCACCGACACCAACCGCCAACTCCCTCCCTCCCTCTCCTTCAACAAATATTTATTAAGCTGGGACTCCGGAGCCGCGCTGCCTGGGGTCAGAGCCCGGCTGGGCCACTTGCGTCCTGTGTGACCACGGCCTTGCCGTGCCTCAGTTTCTTTTGCTGGTCAGTGGGATTTGGTGTACACCACAGTGGGCACTGAGCGGGTGCCCCATAAGAAGTGGCCGCCACCGCCTCGTCCTCGGTGTTCTATTATGGCTGCTAGGGTCTGGCACTGAGCTGGGCACGAAGTAAACGCATGGTCCCCTCCGGCCTGGAGCTTGCACGCTGGTCGAGTTCGGCAAAGAGGGTAGCTGGGCGCAGGAGCACACGGAAAGGAAGTTTTCCAAGGAGCATTAGAGAGCCCACCCATCCACCAGTCCCCAGCTCCCATCCCACATGCCCACGCCTCCTCCTCTTGGTATGAGGAGCGTCCCTCTGCTGGGTACCAACCCTCCCCCTGCACCCCGCCAGTGAAGGAGCATGCAGAGCCAGCTACATTGTCATGGGGTCCAGGGGGTCTGGCCCAAAGACCTGAGTTCAAGTTCCAGTTCAACTACTAAGCAGCCCGGTGATTTTCTGCAAATAATTCTACCTTGATAATAACAATGTGTGTGCACGGCGTGAGGCGGGCTGGCTGGCTGAGTCAGTAGAGCATGTGACTCTTGATCTCGGGGTCGTGACTTTAAGCCCTATGTTGGGTGCAGAGCTTACTCAAAAAAATCATTTTTATCCTAGCTATAGCTTGCTATAGCTTGCTAATTGTTAACTTTGTAGCAGCCTCGTAGGCCTGTCCTCACACCAGATGTAGCAAATACAGTACACAGCTGAAATATCTGCCTCCTTACAAATGGTCAGCACTGCTATTGTAGCCCCAAAGCTTGCCACAGACCGCAGAGCAGGCGTGGCCATGTGCCAATAAAACTTTATTTACAAACACAGGGGGTGGGCCAGGGATCGCCAGCCCCTGCCTCATACCATACTGAAGGAGATACCATTCCCGATAGCACTTCAAAACTGGGAAAATCAAGGCCCAGAGAGCTCAAGTCACCCGCCCAAGGTCCCAGCTTGTAAGAGGTGGAGCAGGACCCTTTGCTGCTTGGCCTCAGTCCTGTCACCTGTCAAGGAGGAGCAGCAGTTGGGACTGTGAACTGCCTCGGGGTGAGGGCTGGACAGGCAGGTTCTGGGCCCTGGCTCCCCGCACTTACAGACGCAGCCTGGGGATCTAGCTGTGGGGCCAGAACCAGGTCCCAAGGCTCCAGAGCATTGGTGTCAGGCCTCCAGAGGCCAGGAAGGCTGTGCCTCTTCTCTAAGGGGTGCCTCTAGGCCTCTCCTTCCTGGAGCAGGGTGGCGGGCAGCAGCCGGTTCCACATCCCAGCTCTGGCCAAATCACTAGTCCCTCTGAGCCCCCCTTTCCTCATCTGTGAAATGGGCAGCCACGTGCACAGACCTCGGAGATGGGAGAGACTCCTGCAAAGCACTCCCAAAGGGGCCTGACAGTGGTCAAGAGAACTAGGCCACTGCCTACTCTGAGCTCATAGAAGCAAGGAAGCAAAGCCGCCGGACCATGGTTCTCCCCCACAAAGCCGCTAAACTGTCATAGCAAAATCATGAAGTACAAAACCCTGGTGGGGGAGTTAAAAAAGAGAAAACTAGAAGAGAGCAAGAGAGAGAACTCGAGTGCGTGACAAACCTCTCTCCACAGGCTGAGAAACGACTTGTGCCCTGACCTCCCCCGGGGGCCAGATGGGCAGACCTTCCCCGCCCCCCCCTGCCCCTGGGCTTAACACCAGCCAGGACTGATTTTCCTTAATTGCTCTGAATTTCCTAGCCTGACACTTCCTCCTTTTCTTTCTGAAAGCTCCAAGTGTAAATAGAAAACCGGTCACCTGACGAATAGTAAGTACCAGCAGCCACCCAATGGCAGGTGAAGTGGGGTATAGATTACAAACACCTGTGCTTTTAAGACACCCTGTACTTAAGAAGATTCATTCTTGCCACAAACATGCACTGAGTGTCTATGAAGGAAGGGGGGGGGGGCCTCCAAACAGGGAAGAACTCTCCCTGCTTTCCTGCAGCTCCGGGTGCAGGGGGGAGGCCCACAGGAAGAGCAGCTGGGGTTCCAAGAGCTCCCATGCATCTCGCCAGCTCTCGGCTACCTATGGGGGAGATGGCTCCCCACCCCTCCACCAGCAGCCCTGTGCTAAAACGCAACCTTTTTGCAAATTGGGGGTTCCTGGTTCTAATTTGGATCAGATCCTTCAAGGGCAGTGTGGAGGGAGGGGAAGCGCTGGATTTGCATTTCAGGCCGTAGCAAAGAGACCAAGAATACAAGAGCAGACCCTGAAAAACACACTTCCTACAAAAGCAGTGTAGACACCAAGCATTAAATGCAGACCTTGTCAGTTTCTGGGAAGGGCTGGGGACCTAAAACAGCCACAAAGACACTCAGAAAGAGAAACTGTACAGATTTCATCCAGAACCCATTAGTCTTTCCTACTTTTTTTTTTTTTTTAAGTCTGTTGGCCTCTTGGACGACCTCCTCCCCTTGTACAGGTTCACCGTGGCAAGTGCCAGATCCAGCAGGGCTGGGTCCCGTCCAGGCCATTTGTGGCACCCACGTTCCTCCCATGGGCTGTGGGGCTTCTGTGGGAGCCTCAGCCAAAGTGACAGGAGCTTCTTCTGAACGTACAGTAAAAAAAAAAAAAAAAAAAAAAAAAAACCACCCAAACTCAACACCCAGCCACCTGCACCTTCTCCCAGCAAACCAGGGCAGAAATTACCCTCCACAGGCAGCCTCTTATGCAGAATTTTAGAAGCCCCAGTGTGAGTCCAGGAACTCCCTCTCCTCCCTACAGCCCCCCCCATCTCCCCCCCCCCAGATCCATGGACCGCCCCCCCCCAACTTCCACAGGAACTGTGTTCACTCCCAGGGCAGATCAAACTCTCAGAGGAAAGAAGGGAAGAGAAAAGCAGCGGTCCCAGGCTGCCCTGTGTTCCTGACCGGCGGGTCCTCCCCCACAGAGGGCAGGCCTAGTCAGTTACACCCCACCCCAGGGACACTAGAAGGGGGTGACAAGGAGGCAGCTGGAAGGGCCCCAGGGATCACCGAGGTCCCTACCTCCTTCGCCAGGAAGCCCTGGCTTCCCAGCCTCCCCTCAACCGACATGTCCTTATTTTTCAGGTTTCAAAGTCCAAACAAGGTGAACTCAAGAGGGGCTCCCAAACCTCCAGCTGTCACCCCCACTCCCCGCCCCTCCACTCTGGGTTGCAAGCACGACTTGCCCCGAAACAGAAAGTTACACGGCAGGCGGCTGTCAGCGCGCAGGAAGGTTAGGGAAACAGGAAGCCACGCCACAACCACCCTCCGGAGCTTCCCCCGGCCCCCTCCTCCGACCTCGGCAGGAACAAAACCTTCCAGGGAAACCCGGGCAGGAAGGGGGGCGGGGGGCAGGCGCGCCACGCTCGCCCGGAGACGGCGCAGGGGACTGGCTGGAGGCAGAGGAAAATAAGCCCCAGGCTGGGGGCGGGAGGGGGGCGCAAGCCACCGATCGGGGCGGCGTGCAGCAAAGTAACTTCACACCCGGGGCTTAATTCACCTTGGAAGGCAGCGTGCCCCGGACGCTCGCCGCGCCGCCGCGGCGGAGCCGGCTCCGGGCAGACAAAAGGAGCGAGACGCGCAACCCCCGGCGGCGGCGCGGTGGGGGCGGCGGGCAGGGTGGGCGCTCCCCGCCGCACGTCGCGCACACACCGCCCGCTGGACCGCGGCGGGAGCCGCCGGGCCGCGCGCGCCCGCCCGCCCGTGAGGTGGGGGGGGTGGGGGGCTCGGCCGCCCCGCCGCCCCGACCCAGGCTGCGGGTCTGGGGGATGGGGGGGGCGGCGCCGGGACGCGCCGGCGCCGCGCGGGACCCGGGGAGGCGCGCACCGCTCGCTTACCTGGTAAGTAATACAGAGGCGGCTTCAATCCAAACATGATTCAAATTAGAATTCCATAGTGGCCAGAAAGGGATGAATTAGGGAAAAAAAATTTTTTTTAACCCAGCAATGAAACAAAAAGAGCCGTCCGAGCCAAGGCGCTCAAAAATGTCCAAAACAATAAAATAAAGACAGAAGAGCGATTCCGAGAGCGACGGAGAAAAATGTCTTTTTTTTTTTTTTTCCCCCTCCCTAAGATGATGGAAGGGCTCTCTCCTGGGCCAGCGCCCGGACAGTTTCGGCCACCTCGGCCCCGGGGCAGATCCACAAGGAGGTGACTGACGACCGAAGACGGGCCGGAGCCTCCACGGCTGCCCGGTGTCTCCGCCGCCGCGTGTGTATTTTCTGCCTTTTGGACTTGAGATGCAAATAAAAAAAGGAGGGGGGCGCACAGCGGAGGGAAGCAGGCGGGAGCGCGGAGAGGAGCGCGAGAAAAATAAAGGGGGGAGGTGAGGGTGATGAAATTGGGGGGTTGAGATCTTCAGGGATTACTCATTTGAAAGAAAAAAAGGAGCGAGAGAGACGGGGGGGGGGGAAGCAGCCCCAAGACGTGCGAGTAGCAATCTCTCCTCCATTCAGCCATTTGAATGTCAAGGGCGAGGGTCAAGGGACCTGTTTCCAACAGGGTTTCACGTTCAGAACCAGAAGGAAAAAGGAAGGGGGGGCGGCGGGAGGGGGTATCTCTTGTTGCCAAGGAGAAATCGGTTTTGTTTTCGTTTCCCCTTAGCTACTGGGGGAGGAGGGGCGGGGGGGGGGAGAAGAGGAGGGGGCGAGCGGGAGAGGGGAGAGGAGAAAATTAATACCCAAACAGCCAAGAAGTACCGAGGGGGAGATTTCTTCTCGTAAATAAGAGGCAGCGATTGCAAACAAGTCTCCGGCAGGAGAAAGCAGGCCGGAGAGCCGGCTCCCCTCCCCCTCTCGCCACCAACAACCCCCCACCTTTTTCTTTCTTTTCTCTCTCTCTCTCTCTCTTTTTTTTTTTTTTGGTTATCTCCCCGGGCCGGCGTCCCACCACTGACTCAGAGAGCAGGGGTGGGGGAAGGAAGAGAAAGAACTCGCGGGGGCTCAGGCGCCCGGGCAGAAGGAGCAGGAGGAGAGCGGGGAGGCGAGAGCGCGCGGCGGTGGAGAGCCCCTCGATCAATTTTCATGCAAGAATCATTATCGGTAAATTGGAAAGCTGGCTGCCTGACAGCAGATTTGTCTCCCCTAATGAAAGCGAAAGGGTAGGGGCGCAGCGGCGGGCGGCTGCAGGCGGCGGCGGCGGCGGCTCCTTCCGTCTCTACGCGGCATCTTCCAAGAGCTGCATGCTTTGCAGAGCGATAATAATAGTTTCACTTGCGAGCTTCTCCCCGCGCGGCTGCCGAGCCGGGCAGCCGATCCGTGCGGCCTGGGATCCGGGCGCAAGACAGCCGGGCTCCCCTCTCCGAACGCGGGCAGGGTGCCGCGGCTGGCGGCGGGGCGCTCCGCTCTGCCCCAAAGCGGGGCCGTTTGCAAACAGTGGGCGGCCGCGGGCGCCGCCGGGCCCCCCTCGGCTGCCCAACTCCGCGCTCTGGCCGCCCGCCCGCCCTCCCCTCCCACGGCTGACAGCTGCGGGAGCCGGAGTTCACCCGCCGCCGGGGCCTAGGAGGAGAATCCCCAAACCGTGTCCCCGGAGGCTCTGGCCAGCCTTTGGTGAACCCACGCGGGGCTGCGGAAACGCACACGCCGCCCAGCCCGGGGGGAGCTCCAAAGGCGAGCAGCTCCTTTCTCTCCTTTCTCTTCCTCGCGCCCCGCACCCCACCCTTAAAAATCCGTGTTGTAAGTGTAATCAAATGCTTGATACCATCTTCCACACTCTCCCTGCACCGGTGCATTATCAGATCCGGGAAGGCATGCTTCCAGGCAAATAGACCTAATAAATGCTATTACTGGGATTCTGCAAGCCGCGGCTGCACCATAGTAACGAGCGTCCTGGCTAATTTGGTTTAAGAGAACGATCAACTGCACCCAGTGTGAGTGTGGAGTCTGTATCTCTCCTCCCCACGCCGCCTCTCTTTCACACCAGCTCAAGAAGGCCCCATGTGATAATTCCCCAAATCGAAGGGGAAAAAACCCTGCCGCCAAACCACATCCTGTGCGCTCATTGTCCAGCCCAGCGATTTTAAAGAGACAGACTCCCTCTCCCCACGCCCCCACACACTCTGGAACGCGCGCCGCAACGCCGCCTCTTGACGTGACGGCTTATTTTCAAGCCCGTTTTCCTTCTGAAGGGCCCCTCGGTGGCCCAACGAGCCGGAATCGCGGCCGGGTGACACTAAGGGGTCACCGTTTGACCCCACAGACAACCAGCCTGCTTTGAGGAGCAGACCTGAGCCCGCAGGTACGCAGGGCGGGGCCCCGCGAGCTCGCCAAACTTAGGTTCCTGCCAACGCTCCCCAGCCCCTGCGTAAATCAGGGGTCCCCCGCGGCAGCCCCGGGGTCCCTGCTAAACGCCGGGGCTTCAGATGACAACTGAACTCCCGGAATACGATACTCTAGAGGCGAGCTCCGGAGGGCAAACTGGAGGTGGTGGGGGCACCAGGCGTGCCTCCGGACCCCTCTAGGCCACTCACGCGCGCCCCCACCCCCGCGCCGCCCACCCCGCCAGAAGACTCAGATGGGCTGGGCGGAGCGCTCGGAGTCGCGGGAGCGAGGTGGCGCTCCTCCCCGCCGCCACCAACGGCTGGGTGGGTGCCGCACGCCGGCGGCCGCCTGCTCTGCCGGCTGGGCTGCCGGGGGGGTGCGAGGCGCGTCTTTTAGTCCCCCGGCCGCGCCCCACCCGGCGCCTCTCCCCGCGGGCGGCCGGGCGCGCGCGGTCACCCGGGGCAGCGCCGGGGCCGCTGACCTGGAGGAAACGGGCCGCGCGGGGCCGCCGGCGCCCGCTGCCGGCATCTGGCCGCTCCGCCCCGCGCTGACCCCGGAGGTCGCGCCCGGCCCTCGGCGGCGGCGGCCCTTTGTTTCCGGGGCTGCGTGGCGGCTCGCTCGGCGCTCCCCGCGCCTCCCCCTGCGCTCGCCGGCGCTGGCGGCCTGGCGAGGGAGACAACGGTCCCCGCGCGGCGGGGTCGGGGTCCAGCACCTGCCCGCCCCCACCCCCGTCCCCGGCTCGGCTCGGCCTGGCCTCGACTTGGACCCCAGCTTTCGCCTCCTGCCCATTTATCACCCACTTATCACTCGCACGCTTGATAATCTGCGCCCCTCTGGGAGTGGGGGGTAACAGGGCGCGCGTGGGGGGGGGGCGTGGGAGCTGCCGCCTATGCACCCCTCCAGGTCCCTCATAGGTTTTGAAGATCTCTGATCCTACTTGGGGGGGGGGGATTAAACTATTTTTAAAAGACCCTAAACTATCAGTTTCTGTTGTCATTCTTTTATTGGTTTTTAATTCTCCAGGATTACATGAACAACAGTAGTAATTAATACTAAACCTTCCTCTACTGTATATGCTAATGGCAGGAGCCATAAAAATTAATTTGCAAACATGTCATTACACAATAGCTATACAGGCAATAAACCTGTAATTACGGGCCAATCACAGGCTGGGTACAGAGGGAGAGATGGTCCCCCAATCTGTTGGGTGCCCCCCCTCCCCTGCTAAAATGGGGAAGATGATGCCAGCAAGGAGCTTGCCTTCTGAGAGCCACCTGTGGAGAATGCTCCCAGCTCCAGCGGACGGCAAAAGGGTCTCCTGCCTCGAGCTCCAAAAAGCCCAGCTTCAGTGCAGGACCCCCTGGAGACAGCCACTCCCCAGCCCATCAGGACCGATATAAGGCGGAAAGGAGAGGGCAAGAGCTCCCCGCCGAGCCGGCAGGTGGGGGGCTGAGCAGTAAGAGGGTAGGAAGCCCCACTCCGGAGGGCCAGCCCCGGCCTCCCCGCTCCCCAGTCAGAGGCAAACATCTCTCCCTATAAGCATTTGAATGCCGGCATCGAATTATCTCTAGATGCTCCCGCCAACCCCTAATGGCTTTCGGCCACTGCCTCAGGGAAGAAGGTGAGCCTCGAGGTTCTAAGCGAAACCCAAGCCTCCTTCGGGCCTGAGTTTGGGCGGCTCGGAGTAGGTTGGTGACATTTCCTGGTGACAGGGACGTTTGGAAGGGAGGAAAGGAGGAGACCCACTGTGAGAGCACGGCTGCACCACGGCTCCTGACCTGAAGCCAAAACAGCTGAAAAATAGAAAGCCACCCCCGCCGTGCCAAGCAGCCTGCTTAGTGGGCCGACTCTCCACTGAATGGCTCGGTTGTTTGCCATAACGTGGCTGAAGGAGGAGCTGGAAGGATTTTCCCTTTCCCGCTGGCCCTTGTGGCTTGGCTGGCGTCTTTGGAACGCCTCACTGTGGCCATTCATTCCCAGGGGAGCCGTCCCAGCTCGGAGGGTGGCGATGGCCTGGCTGGCCCGGGGGCGGAGGAGGGGGTGGCGAGAGGGACAGCCAGCCCTGGCCACACCTGGCCCAGGTGAGAAGGGCAGCACTCTCCTGGGAGTGTCACTTCAGTGGGATTCTGTGCAAGGACAGGATGTCTCTCTCCACCCCCTCTTCTCTCTCAGACGCAGGTCATGGCCATAACCCTCCCCCCATCTCGGTCAGATCACCTCTGGGGGGAGGGGGGAGGAGGGAGGAGGGCATTTCTAGAAAAGAGGCAGGAAATGGGATAGGCTGAGCCTCCAGTGCCCCTCCAGTCGGGGCCACCGCAGGGCAAAGTCGCCCCCCCCCCGCACCCCCCCCACCGCCACCTCCCTGAAAGAGCCCTGTCCACACTGCAAGCCGACCCAGGGTCAGAGGGCAGCTCTGGGCCATGTCCTGGGCAGGGTGGAAAGAAGAAAAGCGCTTCGTCTCTCAATGGGAAAGCAGGCTGGGGGCCGGCTGCCTCCCTGGAACCTGCATGGAGCCCCCCAGAATCCCACTCTGAAGCAATGAGGTCCCCCCCGCTGCTCCTTCAAAATGGAGGGGCCCGAGACTCCCCCTAGCGGGACAGCCGTTGCCAAAGCACAGAGACAGCCCAGCCGGCCAAGAGCGTCAGCTGAACGCAGTAAAAATAGCCTTCCTGCACGTGCTGAGGACCCGGGCTGCAGCCGGGGTCTGGAGAGCGCAGCCAGAGGAGGGGGGACGGGGGGGGGGAACACTTGCAGCCACGGGCCCCCGCCAGCTCTGCATGCCCACTGCACCCTGCTGGCCGCCCAGGCCAGGCCCAGCTGCCACCAGGCCACCAAGGCATGCCCCCCAGGGATCTGAGGAGAGGGGGCAGAGGCCATGCTGGGAGCGTGGCTAGCCCGAAATGGCCCTTCGGGTCTGCCCCTCCACTTCCCTCTTCGGGATAATCACGCCAGCGGATGTTCCCTGAGCACTCAGTCTGTGCCAGCTGCTGTTCTAAGCACTTTTCACAGGGAACTGACTGGATCCTCATGACAATGCTGTTCAAGGTCACCATGAGGAGTTTCATTTTCTAGATGAGGCACAGAGAGGTCAAGGACCTCACCCGGGGACACACAGTCGGGGAAGTGGCAGGGCTGAGATCTGAACCCAAACTTGTTCCAGAGTCCAGGTTGGAGCTGGACCTACCAGAGTTCAAGTCTCAGCTGGGCCCCCACCCACCACAGGCCCTCAAGGCCATGACATCACCATCTGGAGACCTGGTGTCGTCACCAGGAAAATGGGATGAAATCGCTCCCGCATTCCAGCGAGAGGCGGGTGTGGAACCAGCCTGGAGCCTGGCACAGGGTAAGGACTCCATAAACAGACGTGGAGCGACTGCTGTGTGATAGGACGGCTACCCACCGGGGCTCAGCATACCCAGTCCTCCCGGTGGCGTGCTTGGCTAAGAGCGCTATCTTATCCGGAACCTGCCTCTCCCTGGGAGGCAGACCTGCAGACCTACAGAGATGAACCCATTTCATACCCAAGGACCCTGAGGCCGGAAGAGGTGAAGTCACTCGCCCAAGGGCACGCTGCTTTCTCCCTCAGTCCAGCTCCTGCCCTTAGGTGACCAGTTCCAAGTCTCAAGACAACAAGCAAGTCTGAGAGGTCAGAAGAGAAAAGGGGAACCTCTGTCCAGGCACCCCTCGCGGTGATATTTGCAAACCCAGGTCTGGTTTCCATCTTTGCGTGCTTTGTGTGCTCGCCTCTGCTTGCCTGCTACCCGGCAGCTCCAGCAAGCCCCCCATGCAGACTGTGCCATCCTGTCTTGGGGGATGGGGGGTGTCTAGGTGGGTCTCCTGGGGCCCCTCCCCCTGCCGCAGTGTCGTGGTTTGAATGGGTCCCACCGAAATACATGTCCACCCAGAAGCTGTGATGGTGACCTTATTTGGGAAAGGAGTCTGTGCAGATGTCATTAAGGGTCTTGAGATGAGGTCATCCTGGATTATCAGAGTGGGCCCTAAATCTGACGACAAGTGTCCTTACAAAAAGAACAGACCAGAGAAGACACAGGGAGGAGGCCATGTGAGGACAGAGGCAGACACCGGACAGAAGATGAGACCACGGCCCCCAGGAGCACCTGGAGCCCCCAGGAGCTGGAGGAGGCAGGGAGGATCCTCCCCTCGAGCCTTTCGTGGGATCGTGGTGACCTTTCTGGCCTCCAGAACTGGGAGAAAGGAAGGTTATCTGATGTTTCAAGCCACCCAGTTTGTAATAATTTGTTACAGCAGCCACGGGAAACTAATACGTCCTGTCGCTTCTGCAGGAACAAATGCTCGCTCCGTACTGTTACCCCAGGGAGGTCCTGGGTGTTGTCCGAGGCCGCACACCGTGGACCTCGGGCCAGCGGAGTCCATGTCTCCCACAGGTCTGCAGCAAGGGCCTGGATGAAGGGTCCAGGGCCCCTGGCAGCGGGCGGCATGTGCACAGTCGCCCGTCCTCTGTGAGGCCGCAGTCAACACCACACAGGGATGGGGAGGCTCTCGAGAGGCCTGCGCACCCCCTGCTCTCCTCCCTGGGAACCCACATTCCCTGCCTGGGGTTTGGGTGGCAGCCAGCCTGTAA